ATGTACTGGACAGACTGGGAGGAGGATCCCAAGGACAGCAAGAGGGGCAAGATCGAGAGAGCCTGGATGGACGGTTCCAACCGCAACATCTTCATCACCTCCAAAACTGTCTTGTGGCCCAACGGGCTGAGCCTGGACATCCCCGCCAAGATCCTCTACTGGGTGGATGCTTTCTATGACCGCATCGAGATGGTCTACCTCAATGGCACCGAGCGGAAGGCAAGTAGAGGCCCCACAGGCTCTCAATGCCGATCGCCCCCGTGTTGAGGCCGTGAGCGGCCCGTCCCTTGGCTGGCTGCTTCTGCCACGGGTGTGCTCGGTGGGTGGCGGGCCACGTTCAGCCACGCTCCCCTGCCGCCTGTCCCTTCCCTTTCCTCTGTCCTTTGCCCTGTCCCACCGCGTGGGGTTTCCCCGGGCACCCGTCCCAGCTAACGATGAGCCTCTCTGCTTCCCTGGGCCTGCAGATCGTGTACGAGGGTCCTGAGCTGAATCACGCCTTCGGGCTGTGCCACTACAGCAGCTTCCTCTTCTGGACCGAGTACCGCAGCGGCAGCATCTACCGGCTGGACCAGACCTCCAAGGTGGTGAGCCTGCTCCGGAACGAGCGCCCGCCCATCTTTGAGATCCGGATGTACGACGCGCAGCAGCAGCAAGGTGCTGGGGCCACCTCTGCGTGGCACCATGGGGACCTGCCGTGGAAGAGGGATGGGACTGGGGACTGGGGGCTGAGGAAGTGCTCTGCCCAAGCAGCCCCCCACCTCCTTTTGCTTCCTTTTGGCCATATCCCTGCCTGTCTGTCCATCCTCATGCACCCTGTCTGTCCATCCCCATGCACCCCGTCTTTCTCTCCATAAACCCTGCTAGCACTCATCCCCTGCCCTTCCAGCCTTTCCTCTCTTTCACCCCCTCCCTCCCTGCCAGGCTTCCTGGCTTTTTCAGCGAGGCTTTGTGTCCCCTGAGGAGTCCCCACTGCCTTGCATGGCCTGATGAGCTGGGGTCTCCAGCTAGGTTCCAACTGCAGAGCGTGATGAGGGGGGCCAGGGGCACCCAGCAGCCCCGCCGTGGGTGCCCCTGAGCGCTGAAGTCCCCTTCTCCTCACCCCTGCCTTGCCTCCACAGTGGGCTCCAACAAGTGCCGCGTAAACAACGGTGGCTGCAGCAGCTTGTGCCTGGCCACCCCCCGGGGCCGTCAATGTGCCTGTGCCGAGGACCAGATCCTGGGATCGGACTCCGTCACCTGCCAGGGTAAGCTGCCCTGGGGCCTGGCCCCTGGAGGGGACCCCCTTTCCCCAAGGGATGGGTGGGGACACGGGGTCTGCGGCTCCGCTCCTGCACCTCAGCAGTGGTGCCGCACATGGTGGGAGGGGAGGTGGCCCAGGGCTCAGGGTGGTGGGTGCTCCCTGCACCCAGGGGAGCCTGCAGACGAGTCACGTTACCGGCTCCAGTTCCTCCTCTTGCATGATGGCAGCAGGACAGCCGCCTGCCTGGGGAAGCGGGTGGAAATCCCTGGTGGGGATCGCTGCGCTGAAGCCGTGCAGCCGTGTCCGACGCTGCCCGCACAGTCGGGGCGGGTTTGCTCTGCTGCCAGCATGGGGGAGAGCCAGCTTCAGGGTTGGGAGCCCGGGCGGTACGGTGCTTCACCGGCTTCAACAGAGGGGTGAAGCTCTGTTGGTGCAGGCTGAACCAGGGGCTCTCCCCCTTGGTCGTGGGCTGCACCTTCTCATTTCGTGCTCAGGAGGTGGGGCACGTGGGCACGAGTGTCCATGTACGCTCTCAGGGCTGCTGGGCGGTCGTGTAGACGTTCTGCCAGCCTGGGGCCACAGGACTGTCCTCGCTGCTGCCCTGCACTTCGTCACTTGATTAAAATCATCCCCTCCCTTTGCTTTTCCCTTGCCAGCCAACCCGTCCTACATCCCCCCTCCGCAGTGCCAGCCGGGGGAGTTCGCCTGCAAGAACAACCGCTGCATCCAGGAGCGCTGGAAATGCGACGGGGACAACGACTGCCTGGACAACAGCGACGAAGCCCCCGAGCTCTGCCGTGCGTAGCTGCCTCCTGCGCGAGGGGATAGCGGTTTACACGCTCCTGGGGCGGCAGGATTTGGGATAAGCTTCCTCCAGATGTGGGGCGAGTGGCTGGGTTGGGGTTGGGCAGCCAGTGGCTGGGATGGGGTTGGGCAGCCAGGACCCCTGTGTCCCCTCCCCAGCTCTAGGAGGGGAGTGGGCTTGAGCGGTTGAGGGAGGGAAGTGGTGACCAGGATCGGGGATCCCCAGTTTGCCTGAGGCTCTCTGCCCTTTCCTCTCTCAGTTTTTCTCTCCACCAGATGTGGAGGAGGAATGGGGGTGGGATGGAGAAGGGCAGGTCCTGAGCGTGTGTCTCCCCTGCAGACCAGCACACCTGCCCCTCAGACCGTTTCAAGTGCAAGAACAACCGCTGCATCCCCAACCGCTGGCTCTGTGATGGGGACAACGACTGCGGGAACAACGAGGATGAGTCCAACTCCACTTGCTCGGGTGAGCAGCCTGCCTCATCCGCAGGGGAACAGAGGGAGAGCTCGCATTGCTGTGCTGAGCCGCGGCCTTCGCTGTTCTCTGCGTGCTGCGGGGCTGAGGCCGAGGTTTCAGGGCCTCGCGCGTCCCGGCTGCCCACCTTGCAGCCAGTTTGGCTTCTGCGCCTGTGCCTCGCAGGAGCCCCGGGGGCTTTGTTCCCTGCCTTTCCCCCAGCAAAGCAAGGCACCGCCAGCTACTAAAGCTCTGTCTGTCTCTCCCCGGGTCAGCTCGGACCTGCTCCCCCAACCAGTTCTCCTGTGCCAGTGGGCGCTGCATCCCCATCTCCTGGACCTGTGACCTGGACGATGACTGCGGGGACCGCTCTGACGAATCTGCCTCGTGCGGTGAGCTGGGGCGGGGAGCGCTGGGAGCACAGGGCCCTTTGGGGGGGAGCACCGCTCCTCACCCCAGCACGGGGCAGAGGCACCGGTGGGGCTGGGCGTGAGGATTGGGGCACAGGCGATCTCCCCGACACTGATCGTGCCTCTGCCTCCTCTGCAGCCTACCCGACCTGCTTCCCCTTGACGCAGTTCACCTGCAACAACGGGCGCTGCATAAACATCAACTGGCGCTGTGACAACGGTAAGGACCACGGCCCCGCGGCTGCCAAGGGGGACGCAGCCGGGGACAGCGAGATCAGACGCAGGGGAGCCAGCCTGGCAGGGGGCCCTGTTCCTGCAAGGGCCACTTCTCAGCCTTGTGCTAAGCAGCAGAACCCAGGCCCTGAAGGGAGGCATTAGCTGAAGCTGTAAGCGCATCCCGCAACGCCAAGACCCACATTTTCCTTGGCTGCCCTTGGCGGGAGCGTGTGCTGCAGGAACAACCTGGCAGGGATCATTTCAGCAGACGTTGGCATTCTTTGCAAGGTGGCCAAAGCTCTGCCCCAGTGCTTGAGACGAGTGTGGAGTGCGGAGTGCCGCTGCGGGGCTGAGCCAGGTCCTGTAGCCCCAGGGAAGGCAGGAGAGCTCTCCCGGCGAGCTCAGGTCTGGCCTCGGATCTGGTTCCAGGGCCAGGCCTGGGAGAGAGGGTTTGCCCCAAGGCTGCTTTCCTTCCCCACAAGTTTATTTCAGCCTTCCTAGCAGCTCTGCATCGTTAGGTTTAATTAGTGGCTTCAGAGCAAGCGAGGCACGTTCAGAGCTGCAGAGTGCACGTGCCGGTGCAGGGGCTTAGCAGGGAGCTGTGGGTGCAGGTCTCTCCCCTGGGATCTTCCTGAGCAAGTGGCCTATTCCTCCTGGGGCAGCCCCACCGCTGAGTCGTCCCCACCAAGGGACGGTCTCTTTTCCCGGGGATCCCCCAGCGCTGGCAGCCAGGCACTCACAAAAGCGATGGCCTTGGCGTGGAGCACCTC